TTCTGCAGACTGTTGAGGGTTCAGCCTCCTGATGAGTCGGTGAAACTCCGACGAAACAGTTTGTCACAGCCCCTCGTTTGTTGTCCTCTTCTCCCTCTCTGCCTACGGTTTACCGGGCAGTTCTATTTGACGATATATATATTTTAACTGAAAATCGAACCTTTATCCTACCTTGCCTAGATCTCACCCATAGCATTGTCCATAAGATGCCTCACTGGTAACAGATCGACAGATATACAAAAAAAAAAGGGGTGATCCGCTTCTTTATTTTTTTTTTTTATTATTATTATTTTTTTTTTTTCTGTTGATTAGGACCGGCATGGACATTGCAGTTTGGTTGTTTGCCTGAGTTGCCCTCCCACCCAGACCCCTGTCCATTTTCTCGCCTTGGTAAGTGCCACGTCAGCGGGGCCACGTCAGTTACAGTGCCACATCAGTTGCAGGCCACGTCAACAGTGCCACGTCAATAGCAGTGCCACGACAATCGGTGCCATGCCAGCAGGGCCACGTCAGCAGTACGGCGTCATCAACACCGTACAGCGAACTGCAGCTTATGCTCCGACGCAGCAACCGCATCGCAGCACGAGAAGGGCGGGCAGACGCAGCAGAACAGCAGGTACCTCCGCCCCACCCCTCTGAAATGGACACCTAGGGCAACGCCACGGTGGACAATGCCGCATCCGGCAGTCCACGGGAGGCGTGCAGTTCGAACCCCCCGGGCCCACAGGCCCAACAGGAGGGTTCCACTGCGACTTCGGTGGGAACCCTTGACGCTGCACCAGTCCGGCAGCAAGGAGAGACCATGACGGCCTTCCTGGCCCGCCTGGGCACCTATATGCAGCAAGTCCAAGAGGAGCAGCAACGCGAGGCGGCAGCCGAAGCAGCATGCCTTAATGCCATTGCACGCGCAGAAGAGCAACGACGCCGGCAGCAAGCTGACGCAACTGCCAACCACAACCAAGCTCGAAGATATGCCGCGTCTGTCCTCATGCAGCAGGAAGCCGCTCGTACCGCCGTACTCCAAGCATGGCATGTTGATCCGGCGGAAACGATGGAACCAACTATGGAGGACCAGACTAAGTCAGCTCTCGCCAGCATGATGCATGAAGTCATCCTCACTTGTAACTGGCAACAAGTGGAGCTGGCTCGGCAGACACGTACCATCACTGAGTATGAGGAGACTCTCAAGAGCCTCCACACCCGCCTTGACATGCTGGAGAAGGATGACGCGCCGCACAGGCACACGGCATCGTCAAGCATGGATCCATCGATCCGCGAGCTGGAAGGACGGTTGGATCACCTAGTCGCGATGATCGGCAACTTGAACAGTTTCCGACACCCGACGACCATCAGCCAGCAAATAGCCGCCCTACAAGCGGATCTGCGTCAATTGCAGCAGCAACCAACTGGGACCTGCAACAATGTGATGCCGAAACAATTCAAAGATGCCGGAGTTCAGCATCGACAAGTTTGATGACTACCACAAAGCGGACCCCATCAGTTGGTGGCAAGGGTTCACCAATGAGCTTTCCATCCACTTGGTCCCGCCAGAGTCGAAGATCTCAGCGCTCTACCTTTGCAGCATCGGTGCCAGCCAAGTGTGGCTCAAAAACCTGGCTCAAATCGAGGGCGTCGAAGTCTCTAAGCTTCACACCAAGATCACTTGGGAGGCCATGACTGAGAAGTGGCGGAAACGCTTCATCGTCCAGATCTTCAACATGCATCAAGGCAGCCAGCCAACACGCAAATGGCTAACCGAGTGGCAAAAAATCGTGACGGTTCCGAATTTGGATATCCCATTCGTACATGTTCGTCGCGAATTCTTCCAGCGGTCAGTGGACGCGCTGAGCACACAGCCTGTACACGGACTTCGACCAGATCGTGGAGAAGGCGTGCGAAGTTATCCAAACCAATCGGTGGGCAGCCAACGAGCGGCGAAGCCAACCGACTTTTGTGGAAAAGGGCAAAGGCCCGCGGCTGCAGCCAGTCGCTGCTGTCCAAGGAAAGGGACAAGAGAACGACCAGGCGATGACTCACGAGTCGAGTGAAGGAGACAGAGTCAATGCCCTTCAGCCACGACGCAACAACAACAACAACAAGAAGAAGAAGGCGAAATCTGCGTCAACAACGGAAGCCGGACAGCCGAATGAGCCATGGAAGAAGTTCAGCCTCACGGAGGAGCAATACAAATTCCGCCAGAGGTGGAGCTGTTGCTACTGGTGCAATGGCACCAAGCATACGACGTCGCAATGCCGACAAAGGCAAAAAAGATGTCCGTTCACGATAAAGCTCGGGAAACTGAGCCTCGCGGGAAGTGAGGCGACTCCACTTCCTACTCCGCCGGACACGGTTGCCTTGCTAGCAACCTCCTCCACGTCCGGGGAACATGAGTATGTTGCCAGTCTTCGCGAAGATTATGAAACTATGTTGTCCAGCTGGTCCCGCCGTTGGACCAACCTCTCCACGTGCAAGAGTCTTATGCGTGCGCGACTTCATCACCATCGCCAAGTGAACCAACATCCTCGCCAACATCACTCGGGGACTCGTCGGTGTGGTCTAGACTTGAGGAACTCGACCCATTGACACCAAAGGACTTCCAATGGTTGCCTCTTCCCCCATCTGGTTTTTTGGCGAAGCCGCATTGCAACGCCCTAATGGTGGAGCTACGCAACTACTTGCACGCTGCAGTACCAGCTCCGTTGATGGAAGACGGAGTAGCAGTTGTTGACCTTCACGAGTACATTGCGAAGATTGACCGCGAGTACGCCACGCAACGGTACGACGACACCGATGCACCGTTACTCTACGTCCGCATTCAGATCGGAAAGGCGACCTGCAGCGCCTTGATTGATTGTGGAGCTACTCACAACTACATCAGCCAGGATTTCATGACCCGCGCCGGCCTTGGGCCGCGCGTTCGAAGGAAATTGCAGCCCATGCAAGTCACGTTGGCCGATGGTCGTACGCACAAGTCCATCGACCGGTGCATTGATTCCGTCCCCGTGTACTTCGCCCCGCTTGCACGCGAGGCCGTGTCCTTTGACATATTGGACACAAAGTTCGACATGATCTTGGGCATGTCATGGCCACGTAGCGAGGACCACCCGGTGAACTTCTACCACCGCACCGTTCACGTATGTGATCGGAACGGGGTACTTGTGCCATGTACGGTCCCCCCACCTCATCCTTCGATTGGTTGTCACGTGGTCTCCGCGGCAAGCATTTGCAACTCCATCGCAAAGAACGACGTGGAGGAAATGGGCATTCGTTTCTTGCAGCCCTCCCTCCTCCCGATGAGCCAGCGGCGGAACAGCCACCGGATCCACGCATTGTACAACTTCTTGACTCCTATGGCGACGTCTTTGAAGCCCCCGTCAAAATTGTACCGTATCGGCCAATTCGTCACGAGATCATCCTCGAAGACGGGGCCGTACCTCCGCGCGAATGTATTTACCTCATGAGTGAGGAGGAACTCGAAGTGCTTCGAAAGCAACTCGATGACCTCATTGACAAGGGCTGGATACACCCTAGCTGCTCGCCCTACGATGCACCTGTTCTCTTCGTTCGGAAGAAGAACAAGGAGCTACGCTTATGCATTGACTATCGCAAGCTTAATTCTCAAACCATTAAGAATGTCGGCCCGCTCCCACGCATCGACGATCTTCTCGAACGCTTGGGCGGTGCCAAGTATTTCTCCAAGTTGGACCTCAAGGCCGGTTATCACCAGCTCGAGATCCATCCAAGAGATCGATATAAAACCGCGTTCAAGACACGGTACGGGCACTTCGAGTGGATCGTAATGCCATTCGGCCTCACGAATGCCGCGGCCACCTTCCAAGCGGCAATGACAACGGAGTTTCACGACATATTGGACCGGTTCGTGCTCATCTACCTTTGATATCTTGGTGTATAGCCGAACTTTGGACGAGCACATCGTGCATGTACGTGTTGTTTTGGACAGGCTTCGTACGACCAAGTACAAGGCCAACCGAGCTAAGTGCGAATTCGCACAGCAAGAGCTGGAGTACTTGGGCCACTTTGTGACGCCGCAAGGCATCTGTCCGCTTGCGGACAAGATCAAGGCCATTCAAGATTGGCAGAAACCGACCAACACCATGGAGGTTTGCTCTTTCATGGGATTGGCCGGGTACTACCAACGCTTCACCGGAGGATACACACGGATCGCCGCACCTTTGTCCAGACTGCAGTCTCCACAGGTGCCCTTCCAGTTCACCAACGAAGTCCGCAGTTCGTTCCACAAATTGAAGACGGCGTTGCTCCTCGCTCCCGTCTTGAGTTTCTACGATCCCACCTTGCCTACGAGAGTGACTACGGACGCTTCCGGCTACGACATGGGTGCAGTTTTGGAACAACACGACGGAGTAGATTGGCACCCGGTTGAGTACTTCAGCCAAAAGGTGCCTCCCATCAACTCGGTTGATGATGCGCGGGAGGAGTTGCTCGCGTTCGTCACGGTCCGGCCACCTTGGAGTCAACCGTACGATCGCAAGACTTCGGCAGCGATTCCGGTGGCCTGACCTCATTACCGACGTCACTCGGTATTGCGACTCTTGCAAAGTTTGCCGACGAAGCAAACCCCGCAATCGCAACCCCTACGGTGAGTTATGCCTGTTGCCTATTCCACGGGAACCCGGCCTCTCCATTGCCATGGACGTCACTGGACCATTCCCCCGGGACCACTTCGGGCACGACGGCATTCTCACGTTCGTTGACCGTTTGAGCAAGTATGCACGATTTCTTCCTTGCAAGTACTACGCCACGACTCCGGAACTTGCACGCCTTTTACACACCGGCTGGATTTGTGGCCACGGCGTTCCGGAAGACATCGTCAGTGACCGCGACACTCGTTTCATGTCGGCATTTTGGACCTCTCTCATGAAAGAGTCCGGCACCGAGATGAAACCAAGTTCGGCTCGGCATCCGCAAACGGACGGGTAGACAGAGCGGGCACATCAAACCGCTCAAGTAATGCTTCGCACACTCATCCATACGGATCAGAAGGATTGGGTGGTTGGAAAGGCTGCATCTTCGTTGATCTTCCTTTTCCAAGGACTGCCAACTTTGACGCCGCTTGTTCGCCCGCCTCCGTTCGGAAGTATAGGGACTTCCTGGCTAAAGCCCGCGCCAACATGCAAAAGGCTCAAGTCCGCATGCAACAGCAAGCTAACAGGCATCGCGTGCCATGCCCCATCCGCGCCGGCGACCTTGTTTGGGTCTCCACGGAAGAGTTTGCACTCGAGCAGGATGTATCCCGCAAGCTACTTCCAAAGTGGTTTGGACCATGGCCCTTCACATCAGCTGCGGGTGATGAACCCGATGGCCCCTCATTTGTGATCGAAATCCCGCCGCATCTCATAGTGCACCCGGTTTTCCACGCCTCCAAGCTGGCCACATATACACCAGCCAAGAGCGACGACTTCCTGGGACGACGATCACATGACCCTCCTTCCATGGATGGTCATCAGGAAGTCGACCGCGTCATCACGCATCGCAAGCACGACAACAAGCCTATGCAGTACAAAGTCACATTCAAGTGGTGCGACCCCGAAGACATGCGATGGATTTCCAGGGCAGCTTTGCAAGCCTTCGCTCCTGACATCTATGCTCATTATGAGAAGAAACGGCTAGCAAAGGAAGCTGCAGCCTCCCACCCGGACTTCAGTCCCTCCCTCCACCGGACAACTTCGCCCTCGCAGGTAAGCTCGGTCTTTCAAGGAGGGGGGAGTGTGGCATACTCCGTACCACACGGGCCCAGCAGAGCCCGACCTGGTAGACTAAGGGTCCGTAGGAGTAGGGCCTGTTTCGTTTTCAGCCTAAAAGCCTGAAACGAGGGCCTACAGGCCCTGCGTCGTTTCGGCTTCCAGCCTGAAAACGACGGGCCATTTTCAGGCCCTCGCAAGATCGACCTACCCTGAAACTCAGGTACCAGACCGGGGTTTTAGTTTAGGCCCCTATGGCCTACTTTGTGGATTGCAACCCCAGGGTCTGGCATGTTTCGGCATAGGCACGAGCAGCCCCTCGGACGGGCCAGCATTATCTAATGCTGACCCACCCTGTAGGCTGCAGGCAGTTCCCAGACACTTCACGTGCAGAGGGCAGGAGGTAGTCTTCAGGACTCGGCAGCGGCACTCTGGAGTAGTAGCGATAGCAGTAGTCTTCAGCGCTGGGCGCTAGTAGGAGAGAGAGAGAGAGAGAGAGATGGTTGGCGGAGGCCAGGGATACTCACCTGCGGTGCCATAGCTCCAGCTTTGTCTTCGAGGTACCTGCAGCAAGGCGCCATCTTCACAGGTTAGTATCGGAGAGAGAGAGAGAGAGAGAGAGAGAGAGAGAGAGAGAGAGAGAGAGAGAGAGAGAGTTCTTCTTCTTCCTCCTTCCTCACCCTCTCGCCCCCTGACTTCTATGTATCTACCAGCTGAGAGAGAGAGAGAGAGAGAGAGAGAGAGAGAGAGAGAGAGAGATGGGCGACAGTGGTGTTCAGACTCAGCATCGGGATTCAGACCTTTGGCGAGGGATTATTTGGGAATGTATCGAAGACTTGGTGTTGACGACATTTCCATCTTCCCCTCCCCTTCGTCGAATCCGC